TAGGGATGTTATCCTGCTCCAACCGGTTAGCTTGTGCTTAAAAACCCGTTGGAACACTGTTTCGGAGCATTTACATAAAACCGATTCCTGAACTCAGTTCATACAAATGTCCTAATAAGCTGAGCAATTCAATAAAACCTGTTTACCGATATTACTATTTATTCAGCAAATATGAAATTTATATTATAATTATTTATTAAAGCAAATACATCAAATATATTTAAAATTTTGCATTATAATGTTTATTGCATATATCGTTATTATTTACTAATTTATTAACCTTCATTACAGTCAATAATGCCCGCTTCATACCAAGTTTTTAAGCAGAGGCTTGCGGAAGCATTTTCTTCAGACAACCTATTACGTATTGGGTTGATTGTATTTTTTGCCTTTGAAACATTTCTTCACTCAGTACGCTTGTCACTTGTACAATCAAGTAGTCCCTTGCTATTTTTGAGAGCCCAGAGTAACGTATATCAGTAGATCGCATCTTCCAGAAGTCCAAGGGATTGCAATTTTCCTCAACGGCCGTAAGGTATTCTTCAAGAACATTGAAAGTAGTGTTTAACTTTTCATTCCGATGTTTTCTAAAATAATTTCTTGAAGAATCATTAGTATCCTCAGCAGTAAATGAGCCAGATTCTTGATATTGCGTGTAAGTACTATACAGTAGCTCACGCACAATTTTTGCTGTTTCACTATTAAACGAAGATAATTTCATAGTTGGGTCTAATGCAACTGATATGCTACAACAAGTTCGAAGAATAGTCCAATAGTCGTTAAGTTTTTTATACATTCGTTGCACAATTTGCTTATTTATTTGAATTTCACTATCTAATGCGCTATGTAAAGTATTTAAAATCGTGGGAAATATCATGTGCAAATCCTCCATTGTTGGACGAGACGATGATGATAAAATTGGCATCGCTTTCGCCATAGGCTCAAGTAATATAACTATAGCCTAAAATAAAAGATAAGTAAATTAAATTTATTATATTGCATTTGAAAATACATAACCCAAAATACTAACCTCAATTTCATGCCATTTGGCTTCATTAAGATACCGGTCTCTTAAAGCAGGGTTATCTTCAACAAGGTCATCAGTCATTTGACAGATTCAGAACATTTTTTCAATCATATTATATGTGCTGTTCCATCTCGTCGATACATCCAAGTCAGGCACAAGAAAAGACCTTCCGTTTACTTGAAAAACCTTTTTAAGGTCCTCAAATAATGGTTGGGATTTACGTATATAACTTACAAAGTTTCGCAACTTTGTAATTGAATTGACTACAACTTTCATACCCTTAAAAACCGCAAGGTTCAATACATGAGCTGCACAGCGGACATGTTCAAAGTCCTTGTTACCATGTTCAGAGTGAAGCTTTTTACGAAATACACGTCTGAATAGCTCCATATTAGATGCGTTGTCGGTGGTTGCAGAAACAATTCGAGAGCCAATGTTGTAAGATGAAATCGTCTCTACGATTTTTTCAGTTAGATAATTACCGGTATGTCGTTCGTGTAGTGGTATCATATCTAGTAAGATTCGTTTCATGGTCCAGGTTTCGTCAATCCAATGAAGGGTAATGGCGAGAAATCCAAGGTTGGTGCATGAGGTCCAAGCGTCTGTCGTAATCACAAATTTTTGCTGACTTGTATTAAAAAAATGACAAAGTTCAACTTGCTTTTCATAAAATAGTCTTAAAACGCTTTGCGAAATAAATTGTCTTGATGGAAGGTAATATCGTGGGGCTAATTTGTTAATGAATTATCGAAAATCCTTGTTCTCAACAAGAGAAAAAGCCAACTGGTCTGTGATAATCCATTTTAGGAGATACTGGTTGATTTGTAAGATCTTTTTGGCACTGAAAAGTTCAACATTTGCCTTAATGGCTATCATAAGTTCATTATACCTCTCCACATGGTTATGCTTAAAATGAGACTTAATAGTAGAGAGACCCGTATCCAATGAATAAGCTTTGTTGCAAAGTTTGCAATGTCGTTTATCACCGGTTTCGGTAAGTTCATTCCAGAAAGGGTCCTTTTTTAATCGCTTTGGAGGATTGTTTGTTATTTCCATAAGCGCTTCAGATTCGGGTGCATTTTGAAACATCGAATTTGAAGAGGTAGGTTCAATTGGGTTAATAAATTGTTCAAATGTGTTTTCTTCGTCCATCATCAAATAGAGAAATTTAAGAAAAAAAAATAAAATAAAAAAAATCGATATTTATATTAAAAAAAAAATAAAATAAAATAAAAAAATTAAAAAGTCAAATTGTCGTCATATCGTAATATCACGCCACTGTAAATTAACTTTTAATTAAAAAAGTCAAAGAAACTTGATTTCTGTTCGTCACAACTATGTAATTAGTTAAAAGTTCGTCATAACGATGTAATTAATTAAATGTTTGTCATAACTATGTAATTAATTAAAAGTCTAACGTCAAAGTTAATTACAAATCAAGCATTTTGCTCATCTAATCGATTTCAAACTCGTTTCGAGCATGAGGAGTTTAAATATGATAATAAAAATCATGTGACCGCAAAAACTCGAGTTCCATTGGGTTTGGGCCTCAAACAGGTTCGAACTGAGTTCGGGCAAACAGGATAACATACCTAATTTAGACATTCGAAATGACCATTCGTCATTTGAGTCTTCAGGTATTTCAAGTCATTTAATGATTATGTATTTATGTATACACTTACATCTTATTATCTATCTTAGTTTGTTCACCATCCTGGGCTATCTTGACGTATGGGTTTGGTTTAACTCTCCTAATTATATGATAACACCGGTCATTGCGGCAGTATTGTACGTCGATTGAAATTGGTATAATTCATATTCGGTTGATGAAGAATAATATAAAAGTGACATGCAGTGTTTAAATTCAAATTTAAAATTATATTCTCAAAGAACTTAATTTAAATTATTAATGCTCTCAAAAAAATTTTAATTTTCATTATATTAATTATACTATACATTTAATTTTTTAATAATGTTTATGATTTTATATTGATATTAGATATAATTTATTAAATTTTTACAATAATAACAATATAATATTACTAATGGTGGCTATCATCAGGGTGCCTATATCTCAAAAACATACTAAGTAAATGGGATTGGGTATCCTAAGTAAAAGTGTTCAGGACACCCGATATTAGCTTTATATTATATTATATAAAAAAATAATTCTTAATACCCGCACCCTAACCCTAAAAATTCTAGGGTGATGACGACAAACGCCGGTTATTTGTAGTAAAACTCATAGCAATAAATAGCAATGATATTTATCTACATAAGTAAACTTTAATATTATAAATTTTATATATTAAATTTAAAACATTATTATACTTAATAAAATTGAGAACATTTTAAAAGAAAAAATGTTCTCAAATAAGAGAACTTTTTTTGAATATCAATGTTCTTAAACAAAATTGAATGCTCTTTGAGTACATGAGAACACTGAATTTTAAACACCGGTGACATGTATTGATTCCAATTAGAATTAATAAATGGTGCATAAAAAAGCTAACTTAAAAAAAACAAGGGAAGCACATTTATGACCCATTTTCCCTGTTATGTTACATAATTTCACGTACCCTAGCAAAAGTAAAATTTTTTAAAAATTTTAATCGAGATATCTAGACAACTACCTGACCAAAATTGATTTTTTTATTTGAATTATATGAATTTATAGAATTTAAATAAAAAAATTATCGATTTCTGGGCAGGTGGTTGTGGAGATATCTTCGCTCAAAGGTAGAGAAAAATCAAACCCCTAATAATTAACAATAGCTGCTGTGGACCGGCAGTTCCTCGATTTTGATTGGCTAACGACTGAGGATTTTCACATGTGAAATCATGCAATAACGTCATTTGTTTACTAGCACTAAAAAATTATCCTAAACTAACATATCACCTACCCTAACACTAACCCTAACTTAGGCCGAACACTTAATCATGTGATGAGATGACACGAAGATATCACTGGGCTCCTTGTTCTTGAAACTACCCAACCAATGAAACTTATTTATTTAAATTCTATTAATATATACAATTCAAATAAAAAAGGTTTGAAAAAATTTGCCGCAGTTTCTATTTTGATAGGCGTTTTGATTTTTCTCTACCTTTGAGCGAATGTAATTCCACAACCACCTGGCCAAAATTGATAAAATTTTTTTATTTAATTCTATGGATCCATAGAATTCAGATAAAAAATTTTAATCAATTTTAGTCAGGTATATCTCGATTAAATTTTTAAAAAATTTTACTTTTGCAGGGGTACGTGAATTATGTAACGTAACAGGGCGATGATCAACATGGGTGGTCCACATTTTATCTCATTATACTATCTGATATTTAAAAGTTAATATGACGTAATAATTTTACAGCACAAAATTAATACAAGTCAAGTTAATCTTTGATCGAAATAACAATAACTGATAAAAACATTAATAAATCCAGAAATTTCTTTCAATGAACGATTCATTGATCAAAAAAAAGATTTTATATTAATAACAAGACATTTGGATTATATATCAAGGGAATTCAATAAAGTACACGCTAAGTTTATTCTATATACTGGTTAATAGATTTGTCACTTAATGATGGGTTAGATTTAACATTTTTATTTAAATTGCATATTTTTTTGTTGTGATGAGCAATTTACGGATTACTGAAATGTCCGAGCATGATGCATAGGATAGAGTGCTTAAATACAAGGGATGTAAAAAGTAGAAAGTAGTAGTGATGAATGAAGAAACTACTCAAGAGCGCCTTCAAATTTTTCGGCGAATCACATGATAATACTTATAAAATCGTAACTTTTCCGCGCATCTGATTGGATGAATATTCTTCATATTATAAAATAACAAATAATTATTCATAAATTTGGCTTAATCGTTTATGAAAAATTATTTACTAAATTAATGTAAATATTTGAATGAGACATTTTAATATGAAAATAGTCACAAACTCGAAAAACTTGTTTTCTGGAATTAGCTTTTTTTTAACATTTCGATTAATAAAGCCTTTATGCTGCCAAGAACTTTTTAAACTCTAGACTGGTACATCATTAAACAAAATTTTATTCTATATACCAAAATTAATGAAATAAATAAGACATTTTATAATGACATATATTCATGAACTTCGTTTAATAAATATTTTATCATTGTATTTATCCACAAATTTAGCATGAGTTGAATGAAATTCATGAACTGGACTGCTTATTTTAAATACATTCTCCAGTAGCAAATATTACTAAAAAAGAAATATAACAAATTTTAAACTTTTTGTTAATACCCTATTCACAATGCAAATTCATACGTATGAGATTGGTTTATTATCATTAGGGTAATATGGGCATCGTCAATCAAAACGTAGCTTAGTGAGATTAATCATTTCCCAAAAATTGTTACATAAATTAAGATATGTCTAATTGTAACATAGGGTGTTATCAATCAATTTTTATCGGCTATACTAAGTAGGTTGTTACAAGTAACATGTTACAATTAAACGTCTTCTAATTTTTTATCATTTAGTGTAACAGTTTTCGGGAAATGATCAATCTCACTAAGTTATGTTTGATTGACAGTGCCCATATAATATCACATAAAGTTGCATAGCTTATAAATTTTGAATTTGGGGAACAAGTGCATACGCACGTACGTACGTTGAGAAGGGCGTGACTAACGATTTTGGACTAAAACTAGCTAATCTAATTAAGCTAAACTAACAACTAATCCACTCTTTGGTTCTAAGGCACCTAAAACCTTAAAGTAAAAGGCTTCGGAAGAGACGTGGAAAGATTTGGTCCGGGTTTTTAAGGTTCTTCGGGCCTTGTATTGTTTTCCGGGCTTTGGTGATATCTCCGGGTTCAGATAAGTCTTCCTTTTTTAAAGACTTACAATCTTTCTTTAGTATATCGGAATTATTACTACTAACCAATCTTTATCTGCTATTTCAAAGTACTGTCTTTAGAGTCACGTGTGACGTAATCACGATTTCGGTCGAGGATCGGTGATTTATGATCTGAGATTTTTACTATACGTCACGGGAAAGTTATTTCGGAAATTGGGTTGTCGATCTACAAGTGATGTCACGGGAAATTAATATCGGAATCGGATCTTCGATTTTGCCGGTGATGTCACGAGATCACGGGTAATTTCGATGATCGGTCTTTATTGTTTGATAAATGCCGCTAACAATGGATCACGGGGTTAGCAAACTAATCTACTATAAAAAATGCAAACTTGAGTTCTCTTTCGGGTAATGGGTTTTGTTATAAGCGATATTTTAGGTCTCTAGACTAATATCAGGGTATTTAAATGTAACTAACAATTTAATCGGGTAAGTAACTCTTAATAAAAGTTTGGGGTGAAATGGATAGCTAGAGGGAAATGAATAACTAAAGTGAATTGGATAACTAGAGTAAATTGGATAACTAGAGTGAACACTTCTACTCGAATTTCGAAGGCTCCAACTCTAATTCAACGAAAGTTACAATGATTTGCTAACAAGGTATCGGGTCAGAAAAAGGTTTTATCGATTTATTTTACTATATCGTTTTTGGGATAAAAGGACAATAATTTTAAAGGAACAAACTTCTACTAATATGATTTCGAAGTTGTAACTCAACTGAGTTGTTCTTTATTAGAGCAAAAAGTCAGCGCTTTTATAGCCTTCGCGCTCAAGAAAATACAACGGGTTTTCTAATTTTAAATATGGCTTTTCTTGAACATTTGAACATTTGAATATTTTAAGGAACGCCTAATGTTCAAATGTTCAAATATCCAAATGTCCAAATGTTCAAATGTCCAAATGTTCAAATGTTCGCTATCATCTATCTATACCACCTAATTCAGAGTTCGTCCGTTTAAACGTTTTTGATTGGTTACCTGTAAATTGGTATAATCCAGAATCTGTAATTATTACGATAGCTCAAATACGTATGTAACTATTGCGACATTCTTGATCATCCACATGATTGTCAAATTTGGAGGCAGATATATAGTCATCATGTGATTTTAAATTTAAGTAATTAATTTTTAAAACTACGACCTCCAAATTTGTGACTATTGCTACATTCAATCTAAAATATTACGTATGTACTTTCTATCTAAACCACCTAATTCTGGGTTCATCCGTTTAACCATTTTTGATTAGCAGCATCCAAAAACGTGAACAAAATTTTTGATCAGCCTAACGATTTTTATTTTAAAAAATTGTAATTATTGCGACATTTGTATGTTTGAATAATTAATTAGTGAAAATCATATTTTATAATCAACCTGTAAATTATCATTAAGTCTTTTATTTTAATGAGAGAATGTACAATTAACTATAATCATTTAATCATTCAAATAAATTACCAGGATGAGTACGTATGAAGTTTAATTCGATTCGCTTTAACAATTGTGTTTCAAGACATTGATTAACCATAATCATTTAATCGTTCAATAAATTACAAAGGTAAGTATGAAGTTTAATTCGGTTCACTTTAACGATTGTGCTTCAAGAGAATGTGTGATTAACCATAACAGTCATAGGACATGTCCCCATCGATCATTTTTAACAATAGATTAATTTTGTGTAACATATGATGTAGAGACCGTCGTTAAAAATACTTTGAATAGTAAATAAGAAATGACATTTTGATTTTTAATAAGCATAAAATTCACGCTTTAATCTCTTACTTTGTATCAAAAAAATATAGGTTTAATAACTATATACTGACGAAAATTAAGCCTGAAGTATGGCATTTTTTTACACAAAAGCTAAGATCCTTCTCCGGTTATACTCGTTTTTAAGTGATCTTGGGCTGTAAAAAGTCTTAAACGAAGAGTACTTCAAAGCATATTATTGGTACA